TGTGCTCTGCCCACCACGGGTATCGAAACCCGGCTTCTAGCGTTGTAAGCCCGCAGATATTCCGCTGTGCCACTAGGGGGCTCTTCGGTAAGTATCCGTCTGAAAGGCAGTCAGTCCTAGTTCAATTACCCACAATGTCTTTTAATATAAGCACACAACAAATAGCAATAACAACATAAGGACGTGACAGCTGTATTGATTCATTGTCCTATTCTGATAAAACAAGAACGATAGGCCCTCTAGTGGTTAAGCGGTGAGTTTGAAGACTTACAACCCTAAAGACCGGATTTCGATACCCGTGGTGGGCACAGCACAGATAGCCCCTTGTGTAACTTTGTGCTTAACTACAAACAATTTTTTTTTTTTTTTTTGCCGACTAAACGATTTATATTTTACAGAAACTTCCAAAGAACTGTTCACGGTCACGTGACTTCTAAAAGTGTCATTTATAGTTTTGTTAAAAATGCTTTTTCTACTATTTAAGAAGGGACGAGTGTTTTATCGTGTTGTTTTATTGATTTCGAATGCCTTAATATCGCAACTGGCATTAACACAGTGCTTCAAAGGAGTTGTGGTTTGTGGGAGGATCGTATCTTCTGTTGGATCAATAACATACGCCTACATTCAGACTCTAGTAGGAAAATCCTCCGCGGTTCATAAAACCACAACTCATCAGGTTAAGACTTCGGTTCGACAAATATATATCTGATGAGTAAAATGATTTTCAAACGGGTGTTGCTGAAGAGACCCATATAGCGAAAAGAAATAACAATTACCCAACATCATTTCTCAATGTTTAATAATGACAGAAACAATAACCAAATCCCTGGTTCATTTTGATGTCTTTGACCTTTGTTTAGATACTGTTTCCTGTGTTTAAAATTTATAAGCTTTATAGCTGTGTTTCAATTATGGAAATGTACTTTTTTTCCACATTCTAAAAGCCCAAACAATTTCATTATGAACATTTTGATTGGGGACTGAAGATGATGCGTTAGAGAGTCGAAACATGTCGAGTATAATGTTGACTGTAGATCAGTCCTAAGTACAAATGTTTATTGCGTAAAAAAAAGAAGTTGTTGCTTTTAACCGTTATATTTAGTTATTTATGATTTTACACGAGTGTTCAAGAAGAACTTTTAACTATACATATACTAACTTATTGCATATATTAAAATGATGAATGTTTTATTGAAACATTAACTGGATGTGTGATAAAACAGAACGTCATATTACATGTGATTTAACGAAACTTTGTAGAATGGACGACAACTGCCTGTTGTAGAGGATGACGAAAGATGAAAGACTTTCGAAACGTCGCCCTCTACAACAGGCAGTTGCCGTCCTTTCTGTACAGTTTCATCATGAATATTCTGCCTAAACAATCTATCAAATAATACATATGATATATTTATATTACACGGTACATTTCTTTATTAAATTTAAAGCACTATAAATATTGGATTATACAGCTGGTTACACGTGTATCGTCAGAAAGGAACTAAAAGCAAATTATAATTTTGTGAGGTAAAAAATACACTGGTAAGTTAATGAGAAAATGAAACCTAATTTTGACAAAAGGGAGCAATATGTAGCGAAATCGTATTTTATTTCTTTACGTAATGCAACTGCTTACCTACTTTACATTATGGTTATCGTTGTTTGTACTAAAGCTCGCGATGTGGACTCAATGATGCTCTTTGTTTAACCTTCAAATTACTGACTAGTTTATATACAGTTCAATACCGGTGGGATCTGTATATGGCACCATAATTAGTACTATTATGTTCATGTCCATTATAACACTCACTGTAAAAAATGGGTAAGATCGCTCACTACTTTATGCAAAATGCATAAAAAAAAACTCTAGCAATTATTACTGAAATTAATTACAATTTGATATTTTTGTTTAATTTTTTGTATGATTCGTATGTTATTAGGGATAATGCATCTAAAAAAACTCGAAGACAACGACATAAGTGCATAAATGTGTTCATAAAGCCGAAAGAAACCTCACAGGTAATGTAAAGTTTGAAATTACCAATGAACGAAGGTACGATTGTAACTATTGTCAATATGTGGATTAGAAACATACTGTAGTTACCACCTTTTCAAAACAGATATAGAGGACGCACTACGCCCTTATCTTAAAAGATAAGGGTAACGTCCTTCTGATAGTAGGTTGTCTAAGGGCATCCCCCGTCATAAAACACATTCAAGAAGCGTATCGATAAGGATTCGCATAACTAGATTACAAAACGCCAGTGTAGCGTATTATTTTAGTTACGCTGCAATCGCTGACGCTAAATGGGGTTTATTTTGATTTGTTTTGAATTTCGCGCAAAGCTACACGAGGGCCATCTGCACGAGCCGTTCTTAATTTAGCATTGAAAAACTAGAGGGAAGGCAGCTAGTCGTCACCACCTACCGCCAACTCTTGGGCTGCTCTTTTACCAACAAATAGACGGATTGACCGTTACATTATAACGCCCCCACGGCTGAAAGGGTGAGCATGTTTGGTGGGTCGGGGATTCAAACCCGCAACCCTCAGATTGCGAGTCAAACACCCTAACCACCTGGCCATGTCGATGGAGTTATCAGAATTTGAAGTAAGAGGTCGATACACTCGTGAAGACGATCTTGGTACAACGAAATGTATGCTTTATGTTAAGATATTTCGTTTAATAAAAATTACTATTCTTAAAATAGAGGGGTTTAGCAGTCTTAAACAAGACGTCAGAGGAGATGGTTTAAATACAGGAGATAATTGTCCTCTGAAATACAAGACTAATGGTAACACTATAGTACAAATGCACTGCTTACCATTAGCATAGCTTTGACCAACCAGCTGTTGCCCATGTATACCTGATTTTAAAGTGTTGAAGGCTTCATACTCGTCCATAAACCCGCATCTCCGTATGCAAACGCGTTAACAATATCTACGTAACGTTGGCACACACGTTCAAGAAAACAAGTAATGCCATTCTGTAAAATATAACAATAAAACGCATCCGTAATGCGAGTTTCGAAAAGTCACTTCTAGTCGCCTTAGCAGTATAAACAGTTTCAGCTAATTGTTTGTTTGTTATGAATATGCGTAAAGCTACACGTGGACTATCTGCGCTAGCCGTCCCAAATTTAGCAGTGAAAGAGTAGAGGGAAGGCAGCTAGTTAGTCGTCACCACCTACCGCCAACTCTTAGGCTGCTCTTTTACCAACAAATAGTCGGATTGACCGTCACATTATAACGCCCCCACGGCTGAAAGGGTGAGCATGTTCGGTGTGACGAAGATTCGAACCCGCGACTCTCAGATTGCGAGTCAAGCGCCCTAACCACCTGGCCAACTTGGCTAATATAAGAGATTGCGATATTTTAAAAACAGCTGAAATCCTATAACGATTGTCTCAGTATCAATTTCTGTTCTGTCGTAAACACTAATAAAAAAAGTATTGTGTAAACATATTCTTTGCTAAACATGGTTGTGCCTAGGAATTTAGATTTGATCACAATTGAGTGA